CTTCCCCCCTCCTGCCACACAAAACATGCACACGGACGCCGACACCGTCATCCTGGGCCGACGCCGTGACATTCGTTCTTGGTCTCTCCGGCCCCCCGCCCCTGCGAGAAGAAGCCCCAGGGTGAGCGCGTTTTGGCCGCTGTTACTGCCACCAGGTGGTCTCGCGGAAAGAGAAGCGGCTCTCACCCCCTTCCGGCCCCCCCCCCCCGGGGGGGGGGAGCCAGGGTATTGGGGGACCAACGGCTGGCCCGGGGAGACCTGAGGGGGCTGGATGCCTCGAATACGGGGAAGGGGGGTGTGCATGGCCCGAAGAAAAAAACGTCCTCCCCCGTTCACTTGGAACCGATGCTGGGGCGTGGGGGGGGGGGGGGGGGGGGGGGCGGGGACGCCGTTCGCCGGTCCGGTGCGGTGGGCCGCGGCTGTGAGGCGGGCGCCGGGGGGGCGGGGGGCGCCAGGAGTTGTGCAGCCACCAACCCGCGCCCGGCCGCCGGCGCGGCCAGAGGGGGGTGACTGGAGTTCAGACGGGGGGGGGGGGGGGGGGGGGGCGTGCCTATCCCTGGCACACCCCGAAGGCCGACCACTTGGTCCGGCCGGCGACATGCCCCTCTCCCTTAGCCATCCTCCGGACAGTGTGCAGAATACCGCGGGCGAGAGTCAGGAGAGAGCGGGCGCCCGCGCGCGCGAGAGAGAGAGAGAGAGAGAGAGAGACATAAGGCAAATAGCAAGAGACACGGAGAGACCCGGGGCGGGCTGGGGAAAGGGGGCGAGGGGGGGGGGAACACGGTGACGGACAAGGCGCCCCGCCCCCGCCCCCCCTCACGACGACGGCATCCACACACACAGCACGAATTTTCTCCACACTCTGACCAGGCAGCCTGGCCCGGCGCGTCCGGCGCCGCGCAGACATGAGCCGGCGAAATTCCGCGTGCTTGTCGCGCGTGATCATGCCCCGGTCACGGGCACAACCATATTTAGGCTCCCTGGCCGATCGCACTTGTCTGGATGAGCTTAGTGCCCTCCTTCCCCCCTCCCGCCGCCCCCTCCCACACAGCACCACCTCGTTCCGCCAGCCGATCCGCCCCTTCCCCAGCTGTGCCTGTCGCGTCTTCACTTGACGACCCCGAGAATATCCCATGAAGATCACTGTCCTTGGTGGGTTCTCCTCCCTCCTCCAGTATTGCCCCTCGCCCCTGGCATCCATCCCCCCCTCCCCCCCTCCACTCCTGCTGCCTCCCATACTGATCTCACTGCGATTGAATTCCCCCCCCCCCCCCCCCCCCCCCCCCCCCCCCCCCCCCCCCCCCCCCACGCCTCCCAAACCACACACCCCCCCCCCCCCCCCCCTTTGCGACGGGCAATGGCCGGCTACATGTGCCAACCACGCTCTTTGACCTGAATCGTCCATGTACTCGATGTGCCTGGCAGAGTACGCTATCCACGTCCGCCCAGCCGGCCCCGTGCGCCATCCATCGCGCCCTGCTCCTTCTCACCGCCCCGCTCGTCGCGCGCTGCCTCTGTGCCCCACCTTTGCATCTGTCCTGCGGAATGCAATAGGGCCCATCCTGTGGCGGCCTGGTATTGGCACATCCCGCCAGCCAATCACCAAGGCCCGACACCGACCACCTTCGAAGAGCTCCAGGCCGAGGACCCGGACATCGACCGGCAAACCGAATGCGGCATCTGCCAGCGGCCTTTCGAGCAGCGCTGCCCCGCCGCGCCATCCTCCCCCCAGGCTGACGCTCCGGGAGGGACATGCTCCGGCATTCCTGGCGAGGAATGTCCCCTGGGTATGCATCCCTCCCCTCCTTGGGTGATTCTCGCCTGCTCCCCGGTTGCCCTGTCTCCTTTGCCATGCCTCTTACCAACATTCACGCATGTGAACCACCCCGCCCACGATCACACAAACACTCGACCTGGCCCACATGCACACCCAGAGATCGGCCCCTGTCGGCATGCATTTCACCTGCACTGCATGCAGCGTTGGGTGGCCCGGCGGCAGACAACCTGCCCCTTCTGCCGTGCGGTGTGGCATCTCCCGGCCACACGGCCAGACGCCCCGCAATAGATGTATGTGTCCTTCCCTCTCCTCCCGGCCATCTGCTCCGTGTCCCCGACGACCACCGCGTTTGGTCCTGCCTGCCGGCATTCTTTCTGCTTCTTCTTTTTCTCTATTTTCCCCCTGCCCCCAGGAGAGGCTGGCACCGGTCGTCGGTCAGCGCTCGATGGCCAGCAGGCGCTCACAAACCGCCGTCACATCGGCGGCCAGTGTCTCGGGGCTGACCTCGGCCTCGATCTCGTGGATGACCGGCCGGGCGAATGTCGACCCGTCCCCATCCAGCGCACTGCCAAACTGCTGGTACATCGGCCACACATACTTGTCGAAGTAGTTGGTCGGCTCTGCGCAGGCGATGCCCGGAAAGGGGCCATTGTGGCCGGAGTTCGAACAGACTGTCAATGTCAATTGGCGAGGGGGAAATCGAAGGACCATGAAAGGCCGGACCCTCCCCGGCCAAAGGATGGCCCCCTCGCAAGGGGGAGAGGGGAGGGGAGGGGGGGGGGCGGCGGCGGCGGAAAGAACATCCAAGGAGGCTCACACGCACCGGGGATGTAGTCCACCGGCCAGACGCGCACCAAACGCCGGCGGAGAGCCTCCTCGCGGGAAATCTTCAGGAAAAGGACATCGTCAATGAGCTCCCGTGCCTCGGGGTTGTGGAGGATCAGGAACCCCTCGACGATGATGAACGGCCGCTCGGTCGGCGCGGAGCCCGGCACAAGCTGCGCGCTTACCTGGGCGATCTGCCGGCGCAGGGTTTCCACAAAGGTGTCGAAGTCGATTTTGTCCGGATGGTCATAGTTGATGATGCCATCAGACTCGGCCTTGGCCGGGCCGGGCTGAGAGATGATCAACGTCAGGTCAGGACAGGTCCGGCCGAGCCGGATCGGGTCGGATCGGGTGCCGGCAGCCGGATCCGCGCATGAGCAATAGGGGAAATGCCGCGAAACATGGCATGTGTCCGTCAAAAGGGCAGGGCGCACCCAATAGAAGTCATCCAATGCCACAAGGGTTGCCTGGCCTGCGAAGCGCTTGGACAGTGCATTGCACACGGTCGATTTGCCGGCCGAGGAGATACCAGTGATCCCAAGGACGAAGGGGCGCATAGTGCCAGAGGGAGACTCCACCATGGTGCGAGGGGACAGGAGTGTGCGTGTGCGTGTGCGTGTGCGTGTGCGTGTGCGTGCGCGTGTGCGTGTGCGTGTGTGTGAGCGGGGGAGAGGCAGGGGGAGAAATAAATCAGGCATTGCCCGACAACAGGCAGGGACATTTGGCATGGAGGGGGGAGGTCGAGATCGCGGCGCCGGGATGCTCCGCGAAAAAGATCGGCCCCCGCTTGCGGCGCCCCGGCCACCCTCCAGACACCGCACGGGGACGGGGGAGGGGGGCCTGTGCACTGGCGCGTGAATGGTTGATCTCGGTGGAGACCCCTGCCCCCCGGGACAACGTTTCGTCGCGGTGTTAAGCTCGACCGGAATAAAAGCGTTGGGAGCTTGTCCGTCGGACGAGCAGCGTAAGCGCGCAATCGCCCCCTCCCGTCCCCCCCCCCCCTCTCTCTCTCTCTCCCCCCACACCTCCACGCCTCCATGCCTCCACGCGACCACACTGCCACCACGCCCGATGGCACCGAGCCTGGCTACTCCCTCCTGTTTGCCCTTTCACGCGCGTGCGCGTGCGCATGTGTATGTGTGCATACGCATGTGCGATCCTGCTCGCCTGTATTGCGCACCCGGGCGATGATGGGCACCAAGGGAAAGGGATCCTTCGGGGAGTGGCCCGCGGCCGCCTTCGGCCCACGCCCACACCCAACGGCACCTATCAGTGCACCGGGTTGGACAAAGAGCGCGGCCGGGTGCCCGGGTCGGACCCGGGCTCTCGGGCCGGGGTATGCATCCCGGAAGCGGGCGACTCGCGAACCGAGAATCGGCGCCGGCTTTGAAGATGCGTGAGGTGCTGCAGCGGCTGGTAGCCGCCGATGGCGGAACCGGCGGCACGGCCACCCCCCAACCCCACAGGTGTGGGGCCAGCCGGCGACGCCGCATGCCCATCCAAGTGGTGGATGGTACGCGTGCGATGGTGAGGAACGTGCTGCTGCTGCTGCTGAGGCGGCCACTCCCGACAGGAGGAGGGGCCCCGGCGGCAACGATCCGAGCAACCACCTCGCCAGGACGAAGCGGCCGTCCGTAACTCCCACCGGGCCGGCGCCCCACTCGGGGCCAGGGGCAGCAGGCTGCTCGGCGTGCCGGGGCCCTCCTCAGAGGGGGATTCCTCCGCGGCCAGCGGCAGGACCGCCTGCAGATTGGGCAAACTCCGCGACGTGCACAGACTTCCGGCGCTCAGCTCGCCCAGATGTGAAAGATCCGCCGCGGCGGTCGACCCATGGGTCAAGACATGCTCGATGGCCCCGATGCGCGCATCCAGGCAGGCCACCCAGCCAAAGCAGCCGAACACCTCGGCAAAGGGACCAAGCTCGGCCGAGGTCCCGGTTGCCGAGGACACCGAAAAGGCGATGCTTCGCTGGCTGCGGTAGGATGACGACTGCGGCATGTCCGGGCTGTTGACCGGCGAGGAGGGATCGAGGAAGAGCCGTGAAATCAGCGACCGCGACCCGGCCGGCGGCGGACGCGCCACGCTGGACCCGGCCGTGACACTGCCAGACATGCTGCCCACCTGGACCGTGAGCGCCGGCCGGCGCGCGGTCGCCGACATCGACCCATTCAAGGACCCCAGCCCGCTGCTACGGGCCAACGAGCAAGCCGGCATATCCTGGTGCAGTCCGGCCGACGAGCCGAGCGGCGCATCAAGCGACGCACCACCGGCAACCGGGCCCCCGGTGGCCGACCAATCGGCCAACTGCTCCGGATCGATGCACATCAGGATGTAGCAGGTCCGCAGGGTCGAAGCCATCTTGGACACGCAGGCCTTGATGTCGGTCAAGCGCCCGCGCAGGGCCGTGATAGATGCCTGTGGCAGGTAGTTACGGCCGATACTGAAGCACAGGGAGGCAATTTCGTCCAGAGCCTGCGCCAGTGCGAGAAAGCCACCCGGGCGGCCAGGGAAAAGGGCATGCGAAGGCGCACGGCCGCCAGGTGAGTGAAACTGCCAACAGGCGAGCA